GTACCAAAGGCCGTTGGCTCCGGCAAGCGAGGCACTGGCATGGCATCATCAGCAGCCATGGTGTGGGCACAGGGGCTGCTCCCCCACGTTTGCCAGCGGGAGGGATGCTGGCATCGCAGCTGGTTCCACCAGCTTTATGGTCTTTTTGTGCTGCTGCAGCAGAGCTGAGAATCTGGCCCCGGCTCCCTCCCCGCCTCGCCAGGGACTGCATCAGTGTGCTGTTTATTGTTTCTGCCAGATCATTCATGCAGATGTTAATGAATGCTAGACCCAGCTTTGCTCCCAGCAGAGTCCTTTCCACACCTCCCCCTGCCCAGCTCTCTGCACTGGAGTTTCTGTTTACAGTCCTGCAGGGAATTTCCCCTCTGCTGCATGGCCTTCGATCTGCACAGTCCCAGTTCCTGCTGCCAGCAGGCTCCCACACCTCCCCGGTTCCTGTAGCTGTCCAATGTCACCTCCAGGTGTCTGTGTCCCTCACTGTCACCATTCCTTCTCCACCTCTGGCCTCCCCAAACTAGAGACATGCCAATTCTCCTAGGAGGGAGCAGAGGGCTTGGCCAGTGAAGACAGCTGCTACAGGTTCTTCCTCTGCACAGATGGAGAAAGCACAGGGAGAAGCGTTCCCTAAATGGGAAGAGCAAAGCAATTTGTCCAGGAGGACTCAGACAATGTCTACACTGGTGAGTGGTTCCAGGACGTACCTCCTGGCCCTACAGCCCACAGGCACACAGGAGCCTGCATCCACACCACTGCGTTATCTTCACAACCCAACCAGGTGGGGAGCTCAGTCTGCCTATAATTGGGAAACGCTGAGAATACTTGGGAGAGTGTTAATCAGCCCAGCCCAAAATCTCACCAGGGACCTCTGCAGAAGTTTAGCAGCACAGACGACCATGTCCCCAAGCCCCTGGTACTGTGGTGGCTGAGCCACACAGAGCCTCACTGTCCTGGCAGCTGTTGGACATCAGGAAGCCAAAGAGCAAGTCTACCTGCTGCAAAGGGCATCAGTCTCCGGAGGGGTTTCTGATCTCTTCTCGATCAAAGCAACATCGCTTACCCTTCCAGAAGAGCAATAACATTCTTTCTGGGCCTCCCAATGTTTGGCCCATAGAGGTTTGCTCTGGAATAAGTGCGGATAAGCTGCAGCAGGCTTCTCAGCTGGATGTAGTCCTTCCCCAGCTGGCTGCCGTTCACTGAGCGGCCGATCAGGGTCCGATAGTTATTGGGCTCTGGGAAAATAAAAATAGACAAGAAAGGCTTGCCAGCTCCACTCCTTCATCCACGCTTCCGGAGAGAGACACACAGCTTGCGCTGTCGCACAGCTTGAGCTCCACAGAGCTGCCTGCCTGCTCCGTGGAGCAGCAGCAGAAGCTTTTGAGAAGTGGATGAGGGCCATCACTTGCACTCTTGTGCCCCTTTTGCTGTGTGCTGGGTGAAGGACACGCACCTTGGTGTCATGCTCCCATCCCTGTAGGGTCCCCCACTTCCCCTGGCACTGCAGCCACCATCAAGTCCATACAGCTGCTGGTCTGGCCACCCCAGGACCAGCTATACCCAGCAGCCAGGGCAGAAACATTTAATGTACCAACTGATGGAAACGTTCATCTAATGGGCTAACACATGCCAGATCTGTCTTAGAGACAGTGCTGCCTTATGGCAGGGGCCTTTATATCCCTCTGAAACTACATTGGCAAAGCATCCTAGGATCTGTGAATATCCTCTTCCAAAAGGGAATACCTTTCTGCTACAGTGAGCTCCATTCCTCCTGTTCCCACACTCACCATTGCCCAGCTCCCAGGAGATGTTGTACTTCTTGCTGGCACTGTATTTCAGCAGGCTGAGGGCATTGGAGCTGTTCCAGGAGTTGTTGGGGTTTCGGCGCAAAGCATTCAGCGCAAAGATCAGGTGAAGGCCAGAGCAGTCAGCAAAGTTATAGAGTTTGTCTAGAGACCTGGCTGGGAAGAAACAAAAAACAGCTTGTAGTTCAAACAAAAGCTAGTTCCACAGAGGTTCAAATGATCCTGCTGTCCATCCGACCTTGGCTTCTGTGTAGGATGAGCCAGGGTCAAATGCCATCCCCATGACATCTGTAACCGCAGAAATGCACCTGACCTTTGAAATCAGGATAGGATTCCAGGTGTGGGCTCATCTCTTTCCAGCATGAAACTTGGATGCCCTCCACCGCTGTGTCAGAGCTAGGGGCCATGTTACCAGAGACGAGTGACTCCATAACATCTCTTTTCATCTGCTCTTGGCAGCGAAAGTTCAGCCTTTCCTGTGCTTATCCTGCCTTGCATCTCTTTTAGAGCAGATCCCTGCAGAGCCTAGGGAGCAGAGGAGGGGACCACCACCCCAGGGCTGCCAGCTCACGGCCACCTTTCCTGCACGCTGCCACAGCCTGCTCCCTGCTCCCACAGACCCCTGTGCACAACCAAGGTCCAGCAATAGTCAAGTAAAACCTCCAAGGCATGCACCAGGCAGCCGGCTAACCTCTGCACAAAGAGAGGAGCTTCACACTACCCCTTGAGCTTGTGGAGAGACTAGAGCTCCCTGCCTGGTGACAGCCTGGCAAGCCCTGCTGCCAGGGTGGCCCTCCTGCGGTGCTGGGGTCTTTGTGGGATTTGTGTCCCACCTGCTGGCACTGAATCTCCCTGACCGGCATCTCCCCTGCCATGCTGTGGCCTTGATGAGCAGTGGGGCACCAGCCAGCAGCGGAGGAGAGATCAAAGAAGGAGGTGACCCACTATTCGGGGAGGAGTGGCATTAGCACAGGGCACTGCTGGGAGAGCCAAAACGCTTAATGCCTTTCTTCACTTCAGTCTTCCCTAAAAACTCAAAAGCAATCAAACACCTGATGAAGCTAATTGCCAGTGTTAATAAGGTAAGAACTCATGTGACAGCGAGAGGAGACCTGGTTAGAGAGCAATTAGCTAACTGCGGCATTTTCAGTCGTTCCTGCATGTTGAATTGCATCTCAAGACACTCGGTGAGCTTCCTGATGCAGCCTCGGAGATGCAATCACTTAACCGTGAGGAGCCAGCGGGGATGGGGAGGTTCCAGGGGGCTGGGGAGGGCAGACCGAGGGCCATGCTTTCAGAAGACAGGAAGGAGATGCTGGGGAATTACAGAGTAGGCAGACCGGCTTCAGGTCCCAGAAAACTACTTGGACAAATAATCGAGCTGTTTGTCAGCACTTACAAAACATAAGGAGATGACCGACAGTCACAGGAATTAGTCAAGAACAAATTGCACTAAAGCAACCTACTGACAGGTGAGCAGGGCTTGTGGGCAGCAAAGCAGCTGTTTAGGTCTTATACTTTGATGGTTTTTAAGGCTTTTGACATGATTTCGCATGATGTCCTCTCCAGAAAGTGAGGTAGCCCCTATTTAGACTGAACTGCAGCCAGAAATACACACACCGAGAGCAGCTACCAGTAATTCGCTGTTAAACCAAAGGGTCTAGGCAGCGTGCTCTGGGTCTCTTTACACATTTCCAGTAAAGAGGGTTACGAAGGAGTGGAGGATACATACGTCAGACTTGCTACGGCCCTAAGGCGATAGCGTGTACCACCATGGCCAAGGGAGCTGAAGGGGATGGAGAGGAGGCGACCGCACGCTCAGGGAATTGTCCTGAGCCCAGGGGCAATGCTCTGAGACTTCCTATGCTCGCACTGCTGGACCAAGGCACAAGCGAGATGGTGATGGCCAGGAGCTGCTCCCTCCGGTTGAGATAAGCTCCTCACAGCCTGTACATCTGCGTTTATTCTGTCACCTTTCCTGGTCACTGAAAGCCATGGTGAATACGGAGCCAGCTCTGAGGTCTGAGAAGAATAAACTTATTTTAGAAGCAGTGTTTTAAGGAGGGTCAAGTAAATAAGCTAACTGAATAGCTAACGTTTAAAGGAACGCAGCAAAGTCATGGAAAGGAGAAGAAAGGAAAAATGTGGAAAAGAAATTCCTAATCCCTTACACGACCCTTTTCTAAATGCTACTGGTTGTTTGAGTGAAAAGTAGCTGAATTAGATTAATCTAATGTATTCATCCCACTGGTTCAGTCGCATTAGCTGTTTTTCTGGATGTTTAGTGAATTAGAGACAGATACAGTTACTTAATACTCATTTACTTCAGACCTCCAGGCGAAAAGCTGCGATGGAAACGAGACTTCTATAAAGGGGATAAGACAGACACTTAAATGACAACATGAAGACAGCAAAAGGGTATTACCTGCAGTTCCCCTCCTAGAAGCGAAACCTGTTTTGCTGGTGCAAAACAGTTGTAGTTCTTAAGTGTTACAGGAGGGGATTTGCTTCATGTTTAGGAGCCTCTGCAGAGGACTGGGAATTGATTTTCCATGCATCTACTGGAGGAAACAAGCCGTCTGTTTATCCCAGTGCAGGGCCTGCCACTGTGAAATTATATTTTCCCCACGACACTTATTTTGTTTCCGTGTGCCTGGACGCAGAGATACCAAATGTATTTCATGTTCTGCCATGACTTTTCAAGCTGGAAACCTCAGTGATCAGGGCAGAGAGCTAGGAGAAACACACAGATGGCCAGGGGTTGCTCCTGCAAGTTTCCAGTGGTCTCCTGGCACACAAATCGACCTGCAGACTGCAACGAGCAGAAAACTTCTAACAAACCTACCTCTGCATCAAACCAGATTGTTAATATGGGCACTCTTGGTATTGAGAGTATCAGGTGTCGAGCCCGTTTATCTCCTTTATGCTTGGCAGCTCTCTAAGGACAGTGAGAATGTGGAAGCACCAGTCTCTCCAGTGACTCTAGCAGAGCCTTGATGTCCAGTTTGGACAAGATGCCCAACTGCTAGTGGTTAAAGGGCATGTCTGACCCCTCCTGAGGCGATTGCCTTAAACTGGACATCTCTGTTGCAGACAGCTGCCGTTAGATGAGAAGAGTACTGCCATGGGTGGCTAAAGCACAAAAAGAAACATATTTAGAAGATCTCAAGTGATGTCCAGTCTTCCACAAGTACAAACAGGGCCAAAAGAGAATGCTATAAATATTTTACTGCCATGACTAGGGATGGCCACATTACTTCTGAGTAATGAGAACATGAAGAATCGCAGTATTATTAACAGCTGGCTAAAACTCACTTTGAGTTCTGGATAATTGCACTGTTTTTTCTTCATCAAACACAGAAAATCTTCCAGGAATTTAACCTTTCCCCAGCTAACAGATCATTAGGCAAGGCTTTCACAAAGCCTTTCAATAGAAAAAGCCATTGTCGTACCAGAATGAATCTTAATAGAGCAGAACTGGATTTATAAGACGTTCTCCCTGCCCCTTCTCTCCCTCTGCCCAGTGCAGAGATGCACACGCTCAGCGCTCACATGCCACTGAGCTCAGGGAGAAGGAATAAAGCAAAAAAATATGAAAAAAAAGATGAAAAACCCACCAAGGATGCTGAGAGTCAGCTTCTACCACTCACTAAAGTTCACGCAGTTGGAGCAAGGCCGACCAAGGCAGCAAAGCCACGTGCTTCGTTCCCTTGCACCCCGCGGCAGGTTTCAGTGGGGTTGGGCAGTTGCCTCGGTGGGTTTGGAATTAACAGCAGCCAGCAGGCACAGATCGAGGCCCCATGGCGTCGGCACAAAAGAGAAATCAGAAGATATTTGGGCCTTCTCAACCTTTTATGTCCTTGGTTGCAGAGGCTTAGAGGCACCTGGAGAGTGAATGCCGACCAACGATGCATGGCTGGGTGGCCGCCAGTGAAGCTCTGCACAGGAGTTAAAAGGTTTTGGCTGGTTTTATGGATCTCTCACCCTGCACAGAGGGAGACAAACAATTTCAAAATGCAGGAGAAGTTGAGAGGCTACAAATGGTGTTGGGGTTCATAGGACGAGTATGTACTTTGGGATCCTTTCCCATTTTTCTCCTTTTTATACGAGGCTAAATTTGAAAGTTCTCTGAAAAATGGTTGGCGCTTAACTCCGTGGCATGCCAGCACAAAATCTGAGGCACATTAAAACATCTCTGGCAGTTTAAAATAATTGGAAAGACTTTCCAGTTGTAGTTACTGAACTAAATGTTGTACTAGAGACTTTATGAAGAACATAGTATTGACCACCATTTGGTAAAAGGGACAGTTCAGTAACCTCTAGGTTTGAAATTCTTCCACGTTTTTTATTCTGCTTCAGGAATTTTGCTTTGGCAGTGTTTAGCATGAAGAGTGGAAATTCATGTGCACGCTGAGACAGAGGCTGAGATCAGCCAGTGGGCTGAGGGGTGGTGGGGCATGGCACGGCGTGCTGGCGGCTTTTGTAACGCTGGGAAGTCAACCAGGAGGACAGGAAAGAAGAGCCTGTTCTCCCTCTATCCCCACCGTTCACCACATTCATCTCCGGCACGTACAGCACATGGCAGCACCAAGGAGGACGCAGCGAGAGCTGAGCGCGGAGCCGGCAGCACGCACCACGCTCCCCAAATCCGCAGGTTAACTGAGAGACCAAGCAAATGCACAACAGATTAATCCTTCCATAGACAAAGCAAAGAAATTCCGTTCTAGAAATAATGATTTCAACTAATCACGAGTATCACTCGACTCTGTATTCCCCATGAATTCTGAGCAATGCCTGGAGCATCCCTGCAAACAGCTCCTGGTGCCAGCCCTGCAGTCAGCAGCATCCCCTGCCCTCGAGCACCCCACAGGAGACAGTGGAACGTTGGGAAAGACCTGGCAAAGAGAAACCCAAAGAGAGCGTTACAGGGAGGGGGCAGAAAGGGTAGTACAGAGTGTTCAGACAAGAGATGAGTAAGACAGTTGGCGAGAGCAATGAATGGAAAAAGAAAAGGTATTCCCACTTATAGAAGAACAAGTGGGTACATGGAAAATTTATTTACAAACAAATTGCCACCACAGTCAGCTGAATCTCATTTGCACTGGCTCTCTTGGGCTGAAAATCCTCGTAAAACCACATGTGTGCGGCAAGGACTT